ATGGATTTCTTACATTTCCACTCACCAAGTTGTAGCTCTATTCAATGTGCTACCCTAATTTTTGGGACCTTTATGGAGTTGACCATTTTAATTGTGGCAGCCCCTTTCTATACCTTTAGGTTCATCTTCTAGGCTACATATCCAAATATGAATAAGTGAGATGTTCTTGTATCCACAAGTGCATTCATTCATTTACCTATAACCATTATGTCTACGAACATTAGTCCTTTGTGCTTTTAACACCTCATTTACTAGACTAAATTCAACATAATTAAGCCAAACCTCATGGTCTCTTTTTCTATCCTCTCATCATCCTCTTTATTGATGGAAAATTACTTAGCTTTCTTAGGGCAGTCTCATGATATGTGCGAACCTTGGCAAATGTAGCAAGCTCGTGGCTCTCAATTCTTATTGGTCCACTACCTTGGCTTCCACTTTCTAGTTGGTGGCTTCTCTTGACCATTCTTAGTCTGTCGATTTTTGTCCATATCCTTAGATAATCGATTTTTGTCTCTCTAACCTCTATCCTTGCTTTTGGCCTTGGATAACTCAAACTTATTTTACTGCCAAATCTTTACCAAGAATTTAGCAGCTATTGTGGCCTTAGCTAGATCTTGGATACATCTTCGTTTCTACTCATTCTAGGCCCACGGTTTGAGTCCATCTCTAAACAAAAGAGACCACATTCAACTTCAATGTTTGAAATCTGGAGCATTAACTTTGAAAACTTCTAAACATACTATCGTATTTTGCCCTCTTGAGTGAGCTTACACATTTTCACCTTACCTCATCATTGGCATATTTTAGGTAGAATTGTCATTTAAACTCTATCTTGAACTCCTTCTAAGTTTAGACAACAACACCCTTATAGCTCGCATTATTACTCATGTGTCTTTACCACAATAGTGCAATGTCAACCAATACATTGAGATTATGCTTACCTTAATGGCATTCTCCTCAATAGCCATAGCTCGAAAGTATTACTTCATTCCCTATAAAAAATTATCCATATCATTTACATACCAGGCTTTGTTATACTCTTTTGGCTTAGAAACCTCCACTCGAGCCTTAGTTGTTATAGCTAGCACCCTATTCCTTATGGCTACTTTGTTCCTATGAGCTCCCCTTTGAACTCTTTCATGTTTTTATGCACCGCCTAGGCTATGGCCTCAAAGGCTTCATTCTTTGCAGAAACATGTTGGTGTCTCATTGAAAACACCATAGAATCTTTCCTTGATCTTGGCTAAACGACTATTCGAGGTCAATATGATATCCTTCGAGTTTTCCTTTTTACTCTTTCTATGAGCTTACCTTCTTGCTTCTTCCAAGAGCTTTTTTTTACTTTCATGTTATTGCTAGCAACATCACTTTAAGATGTCATTTCCTCAAATGCCTTAACTGTAATCTGATAACAACCTTTAAGTAGAATCTACTCTAATACCAACTATCACGGGCTTAAAACTAATGTCAATGCTCTATGCAACCTTAGGTTGAAAATCTCCTATTTGTATGCCTAAATAAGCTTAAAACACTCTAAAATAGTGGGCACTCAAAAGAATAACTAGATCACACTCAACAGTAAAAAAGGTTAAAAGATAATAGAGATGTTAAAAATGTTGTAACTTGTATTACTCAAGTGTTCTTGTACATCAAATAAAGGTAGTGGTGTTTCTTTACATCAAATGAAGGTGAGGAGACCCTCTATTTATAGTTGAAGCTGACATGAATCAAGGGCCAGAATTGAATCAATCCAATGGCTATTACAGAGTTTTAAATTACTAGGAGATTACATGAGATTACATTAAAGAGTTTAAATTTTGCAAAAAACTAATTCTGCCTAATTAGTCTCCAGATTCTTTTAGAAGTTGACTTCAGCACTTGGGCTACTGAAGTCTTGTTTGCTCGCACTTGGGCCTGATATGCTTAAGGTCTTTCTAAAGGTAATTTCCATAGCTTGAAGAAGCTTGTGCGGGTAGCCCTTATGCTTAATTCGAGCCCAGGGCCTGAGTCCTCTTGACTGATCTTGTTAATGGTGCTTAGGCCTCAAGTGTACATATACAGGTTATGAAACTTATAACATTCATCAAGTAAATGATATAACACTCTTCCCTTAAATTATCTCTTCCTAGCTTTCTCTCAAACTCTTAAAAAACTAATTGAGTATGCAAAACAAAAGCTAGGCATATAGTTTGGAAAAAGTTTATTTAGGCATATTAAATGGTAGTTTTTTGTCTAAGGTTGCCCAATAACTAGGTTTAAACTCCCAATTCGTGACATGTGCATATACTTATTGGTGGTTGGATAATTTGCACTCCACCATGGTTGTAGTGTTGATTATGTTGTTTTGATAATAAAGGAGGATAGATAGAGTTCTAAATTATGATTCATGTTAAATTTGGAGTTATCATTTAATTTCTCCACCTCTAACTGTAGCATGGGTAGATTATTATTTTTGAGTAATTATTCATAAGTGTATTACAGTTCACGTAATGAAAAAATTTTTTAATGAAAAAAAATAGAGAGTAGATGTATTACTAGACACTTTTCTTATTATTTCTTGTTGGGATCGAGCTTTGGGGTCATAATTAATAAAGTTGCTACAAGCTACTTCTAGACTCAAAAAAATATGTCCCCTAAATAGGCTCGATGGTAAGATTTTCTTATAGAGTTTGATTTCATTATGTAGTACAAGCTTCAAAAGGCTAACACAGTGGCTGATGCCCTTAGCAGAAATGTGAACCTTACTACCATTAGCCAACTTGAAGGTTTCTTGGTGCCGCGTATCAACAAAGGGTTGTAACATGATCCTACAACCAAGACCCTCATCAAATATGCCAAGCAAGGTAAGACTAGAAGATTTTGGCTGGAGGATAATCTATTTTACACCAAAAGAAATAGGTTATTTGTGCCACAACATGGGAACTCTACAAGAAAGTTGTGTAGGAATTCCATGATTCTAAGTAGGCTGGCCACCTGGGCATGCACTACACTTTAGCTTCATTGGAGGATCACTACTATTGGCCTCACATATGGAATGACATCGTGGCCTATGTGAAGACTTATATTTTATGCAACAAGACAAGGTAGAGCTTAAGCTACCAAGCAGTCTCTTGGAGCCATTACCCATACTGGAGCAATCATGGGAGAGCATTTCACTGGATTTCATATTTTAGTCTACCCAAGGCCAAAAAGTTTGGGAATATCATGGTAGTGGTGGATAGATTCTCAAAGTATAGGACTTTTATTCCAGCAACTAAGGAGTGCCAAGTCGATGAGGTAGCCTATTAGTTCCCGAATAACACGGTGAAGTATTGGGGCATACCATAAACTATTATTAGTGATCGGGATAAACATTTTATAGGATGATTTTGTACTGAGTTGTTTAAGCTATTGGAGTTAGACTTGAACTTTCCCACCAGCATGCATTCTCAAACCGATGGGTAAACGTGAGAGTCAATGGATTGTTAGAGGTCTACTTTAGGCACTATGTGAGTGCAACATAGTAAAACTGGCCTAATATGCTTATTATTGCCCAATTTTCCTATAATCTACAATGGATTAAGGTAACGATCCAAAGTTTATTCAAGATTGTAGTAGGCCTGTAGCCACTCACTCTAAAAGTTGTTGTAGCAAAATTACACAAGGTTAATTCCAACAGTATACAAGTTTGCCAAGGCATGGCAAGAACAAGCAGTCCTTGTTAGGATCTGTTTACATAAGGTAGTAAAAAAGTCCAAGAAGTGGGCAAATCAGAAGAGACAGAATGAGTAGTTCCAAGTGGGTTACTTGGTATTGGTGAAGCTGCACTCAATAATGCATAACATAGGTTTGCCTAAAGGCCTAACTCAAAGATACGAGGACTTTTTAAAGTTCTTAAAAAGGTAGGAAAGGTTGCTTACAAACTAAAAATGCCACCAAAGTTGAAGGTACACTCAATTTTTCATATCAACATGCTCAAACCTTTCCATGAAAACCAGGAGGATCAAAGTCGGGTAGAGTCACAACGTGTACCTTTGAGAGAAAAAGCCTTATATGATAAAGATGTCCAGTGCATACTTACTGACTGAGTTGTCCAATGCAATGGAAAAGACTTCCTGACAGTAAGGCTAGAGTGTTTAGCACTACCAATCCTAGGTACGAGCACTACAGCGAAATTGCCTAAACCTTTCCAAGTCCCAGTGTTCATTAAGGTTCCATAACCAATAAGCATCTAGAAGGGCTTAAACTAGCCTAGCATAAGTCTAGGGCCCTTGGAACTGTCTAAAACCCTTATAACAGCCACACACTTAACTAAATATTTACTATACAATATATGAGGGCTCAAATATAAACAAGGTTATCCTCTTTTCATTTGTAGATAGATGGACATAAAGATTGGTAGAGAGTACATCAGGTACTACAAGAGTGTCAAGTGCTTGAAACATTCATCAAGTAAATAATATAACGCTATTACCATAAACTCTCTCTTTTCTAATTTTCTCTCAAACTCATAAAAAGTTAATTGAGTGTGCAACATAAATGTTAGGCACATAATTTACAATAGGCTGATTTAAGCAAACTAAATGATAGTTTCTTATCTAAATCCACACGGTAACAAGATTTAAGTTCCTAGTTTGTGAAATGTGCGTGTCCTTGTTGGTGGTTAGATAATTTGCACTCCACCATAGATACGGTGTCGATTATGCTGTTTTAATAAGGGAAGATAAGAGTTGTGAATTGAGATTCATGATAAATTTGGAGTTATCATTTAATTTCTCTATCTCCAACTGCTGCATGGGCAGATTATCATATTTGGAGTAATTATTCATTAGTGTATTATGGTCCAAGTAATGAAAAGATTGTTTAACGAAACAAAAAAAAAATGGAGAGCAGATATATTATTACTATACACTTTACCAATTAATTTCAGACAAAAAAGTTATTTTCACTTTTAAAGCACACACATAATTTTGGAATGGATGCTATCAATTACTTTAAAATAATATTGAAGACAACGTCGAAATTCCTCCATACGAACAATAACGTTCTACTTCTCACAACTAATTGAATTTTAAACAAAGTCAAACGTACATATATGTTGTCGGCATATCATTCACACTATATGTACATTGTAGATGCTTAGCAAGTATGACTGTCAAAATAACCAATTCCCACAAATATGTGTCCTGTCATGGTAATATTCAATGCTTAATTGTTTTCCTTCCATCACCCTAATTTCTGTCCCCACGAATTTCTCTTATATTTTGTATGGTTTCGTCAAATTGCCAACCGTCAATTTGGCAATTTACTTGTGAAAAGAATTAAAAAAAAAAAAAAAAAAAGTGCAATACATAACAAAACATCACATTACCGAATACAGCGCCAGGCTTACAAGAAAACCCAATAATGCCCCCGCTGCAACTTCAACCTCTGTGTGTCCGATCGATTCTTTTAATGGGATTGGATTATTGGCTTTGGCTGAACCTTCATATTCATCTTCTTCTAACTCAAAACATGCCACTGCCTCGTTTGGTTGCCTTATTTCTTTGTCCCTTGTAACTAACATGGGAGCGTTCACAGATTTTGAAGTCTTGGATAACAGAGGACCAAGCCTCTCAATATTTACGCCTGAACTTTCTTCTCCACAATCAATCAGATTATCTCTATCCTTGGACACAACTGAGTTAACCTGTCTCTTGGGTAACAATATATTTAGCGCTTTTGCATGATTCCCCACTTCTCTTCTCACCCCCTACAAGACCAATATTTCTCTCTATGAGTACTTCACATCAGCCAAATTGTCCTGCTAACAAATAGAATCCACAAAAATAAACATCGCATAGAACCAAAGTGGCAATCATTTTCAATTCTCTCAGCTGATAAGCGAGGCCACCATGATGCAAACTCTAATCAAGTGTATTATTAGATTGTTTAATTAGAAGATAACCAACTTATCTTATGTACACACAGATCAAACAAGATAACACACGGCTTTAATTAGCCATGTCTAGAGACATTATGACAGTATTTTAGACAGATGTATAAAGCTAAATCAAGGATCATACATTGAAAACATTGTTTAGTATTTGTTGGGAAAAGGCGTACATAAAGCTTTCCGATAGAAAACGAATAGAACAAGGCATTATGAGGTTTACATTAACTAAATTAATATGTTTTCTTCTATATGCATTAAACTAAAACAAAGAAGGATCTGTTAACCAAACAGGAAATAAAAATAAAGAATTGCAAAATGAAATAGGCACAGAGGATCTATCAGTGCGTGAGTGTGTGTGCGTGTGTGTATGTTGAACGTATAAGTATATTTTATGTTTATATAAGCAGCAACGGGCGTGCATTGCTGCAGTATTACAGTTGAAATTATCTTTCGAGCAAGACTTGATCTCTTTACTTTTGCACCCTTAAAACATAGCTTGATTCAAAAAACCAAAGTCTTATTGTAATTGTGATTGTCTAACTGACACAATTAACCCTGTAAGTGCGACTCCTAAGGAACCCTATATGTTAGTTGTTTATTATGTTTCTTTCCTTTATTCTATCTTTCCTATTTTCTCGCGAATTTCAGAAGTAGATATACATTAATAGCAAATAAATCCCCACAGCGGAAGTAATGTCAGAGGATTAGCAACCTAAATTGTCTTTCAATGCATAACATTATAAGGGGTGTAGCTAGTGCCCCCAAAAAAAAATTTTAATACCTTTATACGTATAGGAATCTTTCCCATAAAATTTACTATTTGGCCCTCCTCCCATTGAATTTACTATTTGGCCCCCTTCTCCCTATACCTGGCTTCACCTCTAAACATAATTATTGAGATAATATGTGCCTCTCAACCAAAATGATTAGTCATGTCTATGTTGTACGGGATGCAATTCAACCTTTCTCCAGGCAAGTGTAGTAGTTTACTCTTTCAGAGTCACAGTTCTCAACAATTACTGAGTATCAAATTTCACCCAAAATACTCTGCTGGAGAAGAGAAAAAGCAAGAAAAAGGTCTGCATTTCAGCTTCTTTCTTCGTATCTCAAAACAAAACCCACAATGTTGGAAATATATTTTCAATAAAAGAGCTATTGCCATGATAAAAGAACAGAGTAGTGATTTTGTCATAAAAGGCTTCCCGAGTCTGTTTAAAATATCAAGGCAAGGGGATATTGGGACAACTCCACTAAACTATTAATATTTATGGCCCCTTGAAGGATATATTTTGAGGGAGCACCTTTGATAGAGGATAGAAATATGCTTGTCCAGGGACTAAGTTATCGAGAACTTTATATTATATTTTACGGTGTTTGATTGTAATCTTTGATACATTTAGGTGATTGATGTTATTTTATATTAATTAGTATTTACTTCTTTTCCAATTATGAAGGCATTAGGGTTATATTAGCATTTTGCATTTTATTATGAATTTGATTTAGTTTTGGTTATGCTTGGATTTATGACTAGTTGAAATTTGGTGGATACTCAAGCATTTGATATTGATATTTGAGAATTCGGATAATTATTTAAGTGTATGGAGTTTTAGATCATTTGTTGCATCTAGATAAAAGTTAACTTGTGCTATTTTGAAGGGTTTTGATTATGTATACTTGGACAACTTAGACGACATACATTTCAGAGTAATATCATGTTGCATACGCTGCTGGAAAAAGTGAGATAATAGTATGGATGTAAAAACAGATTCTATGAGGCTTCCTGCATATGTATGTTCAGTTTTTTGTTGCTAAAATGGAAACAATGTTTTGGAAATAGAACTTTGAGAGTTATGCTGCTTCCTTAAAATCAACACTCTGACATAAATCTAGAGTTTACAGCAGCTTATTTTGCTAATGCCAAGAATCCCATGACACACGAAAAAAGAAGTGAAACTTTGCAAAGCAAAACAGGCCGCATAGATAGCATATATTTATATATTTATATCAGAAGGGCAAAGGCAAAAACCACACCTGAGCATCATACATGACAAGGCCAGCATAGACCAGGGTAAGCCCGAAAATCGAATCAGAGAAACCCCTGCGATGTATGTATAGGTACAGATATTGAAAGGAATTTGAATTGCAGAGGCATAAATGTAAAATGGGTTTGTTTCAAAATGGGATAGACAAGAGTGAAATTACCTGTCAAGAGCAAGAGAAGTTGCAGTAGCCACCACAGACTGTCCATTAAAGAAGATAAGATGAGGGTAAAATCTTGAAATGAAATGTTACCGAAAAGAAAGAAAGGCAAAAGCGAAAGGGGCATGGCATTACGGAGGAATGGGTAGAAGGGAAGCCTCCAGCCTGAAAAGCGGTCTTGAAATCGAAATCTTTGCCATAAAGAATGACAGAAGTGAATGGTTTTGAAAGCTGCCCGATTGCTGCCGATACAGCAGCGGCTACCAATACCTTGTTATGGCCGACTTGAGCGATATCGTCTAGCCCAATATGGACATGGCAAGTAAATTTAGGAGGTTTCCTTGGACATTGGATAAGATTGTATTTTCTCTTATGGTTCTTGGTTACGAACAAGCTACGAGCATGAGATGGGTAACACTGCAGTACCATTTTTCTTGTCTGGTTAAGGTTAAAGGTGAAGGTTGGCTGTGTTATCTTTCTTCGCTCCTGTCTGTCCTGTCCCGACCTTGACCCTCCGGCCCTCAAACAACTCCTTTTTTCTTTTTTTTTTTTTTTCTAAAACTGTACCTCAAAAATCAAAATCTGGATTGAGATAATCACGTGGATTTTTAGACTTTTTTTAATAAGGCATTTCAATTAAGAATTTATTAATTAATTTAACAAGGGAAAGTTGTTCTTTATCACAATATTATTTGAGTTAATTACATTAAAATTAAATATTATATTAATTTTAATTCTGTGTCATGGATATGCAATTATATATATATATATAACTCAATTATATATAATATAACTAATAAATTGTATATTAAAAATAAAAAATTTCAATGCAAAATAATGAAAAAAATAAAATTATTGTAGATCAATATGTACCTATATAATGTAAAAAAATATTTTGTATCCTGTCTCATCTAACAATAATATTTATATAAAATTAAATAATTTTTTATTCCAAATTATAAAAATTTATTTCATTTAAAATTAATTTTTTGTAGAAACTTTTGTTTGGTGTTGCCCCTTATTTTGGTGTAAGACATTCAAAACTCTCGATAACAACAGCAACCCTTGGATAAGTGGTGTCCATCCTTGCATTGTATTTACAAAGGTTAAAGTAGTTCAAATTGAATTTGCATTTTTTGATGAATGAGATTGAAACCATATATTACATATTAATCATAATTAAAACTATAAATGAATGGTAAATAAGAAAGTAAAAACATGTGCCAAATTCTAAGAAACTTTAAATTTAACTAAAAAAGCTCACCTTGTCCATATCTATTATTAGTCATAAAGAAAAATCTGACAAAATCCTCAAGAACTTAAAACTAAAAAGAGATAAAACATGTGAAATTATTCTATCCAAAAGTTTTTTAAAAAAAGCTAATATTGAAAATGAATGGATAAATGAAGTATGAATATGTATAAAAATGTAAATAAAATATAAATAAAATCAATCGATAAACTTGACAAAGAAAAAAGTTGATCAATAGAAAAAAGACAAGTAACTTGGTGATCAAAATTTTCTTGATCATAATGAAATCTATACATTTGTAAGCTTTTAAAGACTTACCTCCTAGTACTTGTAGCATATAGGATTCTCTATTTATAATAAGAATTTTGAGAGACTCTATAAATTGAAAGTAATTTATGCAAAAAATTATGTTGAATTATTAATTATTTATAATATATCTTTTATTTTGAAAAATCTACACAATATTTTGAAAAATTCTTGTAAGATAATAAATTATACCAATTGTAATTAATACTTATATGGAAAGAAATATGAAAATATGTTTCCAACTAATTGGACTTTTATTTTAAGTTTGAATTTTTAGCATTATATGCCTTTTATATTCATTTAAGTTAATAAATATATAAATTATTTCTTAATTAAATACTAAAATCATGGTCATTAAATAATCAATGCTTTCAAAACATATTTCTTATTTATAGTATATATGTTCGATATTTAAAATTAAGAATTGAATTTGGTTGAAAATTATTTAAGATAATTTAATTGTAACACATTTATAAAATGCAAGAATATTGGATATCTATATATAAGAAAATAAATAACCTAATTTAGCCAAAACAAATATCTTTTAAATTAATAAAAATGTAGATGAAGTTAAATCAAAATAATTAAAAGCAGGACACTTGGAGATTATTCAAAAGAATCCACATGTTAAAAAATATATTATCCACATTGGATTTTTTTTTCATTTTTACCAAACGTTTTTATTTTTATATATTTATATAAGATAAAATAGGATGTACGACTTATTGATCACAACCCATATATATAAAATTTGACATTATAATGTACGATTGATTTTATAAAAAAAAACAAAAATTTAACATTATAATACATCATTAATTTTATATAAATATATAAAATCATTATATTTTTTATCTATATTTATACATGAATAACATCTATTACTCGGTTAGATATTATATTTAATCAAGTGTGAATGAATCAAGTAATTGATTATAGAATCAACTCTTAACAGTAATTTTAGTGGTTGTTAAATTTTTTATAATATTTCTGATTAGATTTTAATATAAGTTCTTTGAATCATTAAAAAATATTTAATGACCGTAATTATAATATTTATTAATTCTTTAAATCATTAAGAAATTCTTTGATTATAATGTATCATTGATTTAGCTTTGATTTATAATTTAAGATATTTTATTGGAAATAAAAGGTAAGACAATTAAAATTTTAAAAGAAAATAATATAATTAAGGCATTGAAATATTTTAAATTTTTATAAAATCAAATCAATTTATATCAATTTAAAAAGAAATAAAAATGAATAAATATAATTAATATAGAACACGTGATGATTTATAAAGGTTGTCCACATGTCAATATTATAGGCCATCCACATTAAATATTTTTCCTTTTTTGCTAAAAATTTTGGCTTTTATATATTTATATAAGATTAATTAATAAAATTATAATTCAAATGATACATTAAATATTTCATTATAATTCAATGCTTGTTCATAACATTAGCTCATATGAATTTGATCTCTATGGAATGTTTGATTTGCGAATTTTTAGATTAAGCAAGAGAAAGTGATTTCAAAGAAAAGTGTTATTAAAAGGGATTGTAAGATTCCTAATTTTGTTGATCTAGAGAATATAAGGATTTAAAATTTTTTTATTTGGTTTAGAGGAATATAAGATTACTTAATAAAATCTTTTACAATATTGTTTTTGATGACATGTGACATTTATAACACATTACACGTGAATAAAACATTTTTATTGAAATTAAAAATTTTAATTTTTTTTTATTTTTTCAACAACTATAATTTTATAATCCTAATTACTATACTTAGATACCCCTACCAAGGGTTTTAGGGACGGAGTTCCATAACAAATTTTTTAAGTAATAATATTAAATAAATATATTTTAGATTTGTATATAATAAAATTAAGTAAATATATTTTACATTTTATTTTAATTTTATTTTGAGTACCAACATGCATTACGTTTTTTAACTTCAAAATGTGGATTTTATTAAAATTTCATAATTTCGAAAATAAAGTTTAAGCATCCATTACGTTCTTTATCCTTAAAATGTGATTTTTGTTAAATTTTTAAATTTTCAAAAAAAAATTTTAACAACTACTATGTTTCTTATTTTAAAAATGCGGTATTTGTTAAAATTTCAAAATTTTCAAAATATTGTTTCAATATCAACTACATTTTTATCTTCAAAACATGATTTTTTTTTAAATCTAAAATTTCAAAAATTAAGTTTTACATCCATTATGTTTTTATCTTAAAAATGTGATTTTTGTTAAATTTTTAAATTTTCAAAAATATAGTTTCAGCATCCACTATTTTATTTTAAAAACGTAATATTTATCAAAATTATAAATAAAAAATCACATCTATTTTGTAATTTTAGGAGACAAAAAAGGATAATATATTTGAAAATGCAATTAAGTAAGGATAAATAAAGTATATTTTTACTTTCCTTTCCAAATCTAATAAAACTTAAGAAGATGAGAGTTTTTATTCTCTTACCTTTTTTTTTCTTTTTTTGACATTGTTAAAAATCTTTAAAAAATTTCGAAAATCATATTTTGTGAACTAAACTAAAAAATCAACTTACAAAAAGTTTAATAAAAAGATTATTTTCCTCTAAACTAACGCCCCCTTAATGTTTTAGTTTGGTTCCATTCTTATTAAATTATTTCATTTAGATCCTAATTGTTTAAAATGTTTTTATTTTGATCCTTTCGATATTTCGTTAATGTTAATGTAATTTTCATGTTTGAGCTTATGTGGCAAAGCCATACAAGTTTTATCAATTATTAGTGAAAAATGTGCCAAAAAGGTCTAAATGAATAGTTTAAAAGTAAAAACTAAAAAGGAACTAGAATTATTAATGTATAAAATGATTGTTTAAAAATTATATTTTAAAAAGTAAACACATAAAATGATTGTTTAAAATGATTTTTTTAAATTGAGAAAACTATCAATTGGAGGGAAACTCACAATTAAGCTACCAAATTGTAATTGGATTTGTTAAATAATTATTAGTTGATAAAAAATGACATAAGTTAATAAATTTGGTAGGCTATGGTGTATTGGCTTTAATTGGATTGAGGCATGGTAATTTGAGTTTTAATTGGATTTGGAAAAAAGAACATGGGCATTTGTTTGATTTAGTTTTGTAAGTTGGTGAGATTTTATGTGCTTTTAGTTTTTATCATTTATATGAGATAGGTTTGTAATTGAGTGTGTTTTTATAGGTTTTAAGCTTTTATCATTTATTAGCAATAATAAATAAATAATTTAAAATTTATAACAATAAACATAAAAATAAAAAGACATAAAACAAAAATAAAAATTAGGTTAATTTTTTTATTTTTCTTTTTATTTTAAATATTTTTACAAAAAAAATTTATATGTTACAATGAATTGAAAAAGCATAGATATGATCAAATTATTAACAGAAAATACAACACTTATAACATAGCATGAAAAATTAATAAAAATGTAATTACTATATATGAAAGACTATATATATTAATTTTAATTTTTTTGTCAAAAAATATGAAATATTATGCATAACATAGCATTAGAAATTAACAAATAAAATATTTTTCTCCTTTTCATTGTTTAGTGTCTAAACGTTTATATATATTCAATACTTCTTTATTACATTCCCACTACAAAGAGTGGGTGTCACAAGCTGAGGCTTCAACTCTAGGCTCGTGCAATTCCTAAACTCAAGAATGGACTATTTTGATGTCTAATATCAATCTACTATTTACACAAGTGCTAGGCACTCAATGTCACAACCCGTGTGGGTGCACTTAAGGCCCTAGCATAATCAGCAAAAAGGGTTTAGGCCTTAAACATGCAATAGGCATAAGGGCCACCTGCACCAACTCTCTAGGCTAAGAAAATTACTCTTAGAAAGGCCTTTGATGCACCAAGCCCAAGTGCAAGCAAACAATACTCTAGTAGGCCCAAGTGTTGAAGTAACTTTCTAGATGGATTTAGAAGATGACAAGATGCTGGATAGTTCCCTACAGA